GTAACAAACACCTCAAAAAAAAAAAAAAAAAGTAGAACTTCAGTAAGGTATTACAAGTTCAAAGTTTCCTTATCACCTCTCAAAGTAGAAAAGCTCATAAATCCAGCTTTTTTAAAAAAAAAATTATTTATTCATTCACTTATTTATTATTTTTTAAAATTTTGACCAGAGAAAGATAGAGATAGAGAGCAAGGCACCGGGTCCGGGACTTGAACCATGGTTGGTCACATGGGAGTGTCTAGCGCCTTAAACACCACGCCACCTGCTGGCCTCAAGCCACCTGTTTTTATCAAGCAGTCTGCCAGATACTGATACAGGAAATTATACCTCTTTTTTTATTGCAAGGAATTTAAGGTTGAGAATGGGAGCTAGATATGTAAATAAGTTTAATAAAAAGTGGTCATTGCAATATGTAGTTACAAGGTTCTGTAGTGAGAGGTAGATGTTATCAACTCTGTTTATGGAGTAAGAACAGGAATGCTTCACAGAAGAAGCAATAAAAGATCATAAAGACTGGGAAGGAGTTTTATCAGACCAGGGATAGGGGATGGGAGGACCTTCTTTTGAGATTTTTTGCCATAGGGCATATGCACTCACCAGAGTGGGGGGGGGGACGGGACCATGGCCATGCAGCAATCACATCTCCCCCATTCTCTTGGGGTTTTGGTCTTGTCTTTCAAGCCACTGGGTCTGGGATTTGAATCACCTAGTTGGCTGCGTGGGACCCAATGCCTAACCCCCCTGGGATGACATTCTAACAGAGGGAACAGAATGCTTAAGCATGGAGCAACATGCTCGTGGAACTACAGGCAGTTTAGATGGCTAGCATATAGGGAACGTCTGTAATATAGTGATAGCGAGCTCAGAATCAAATGTTCATTTTATAGCTGTAAGCTGACAGCAGTTTGAAAATGGATAAGGGTAGAGAGGGGCAATGTCCGCTGAAAGACGGTGGAGGCCTGAACTGCGACCAAGGCATTTAGGGATGGATTTGAGAGGTATGTCTTGGTGACTGATAATGGGAAGCAGCAGAGAATGGAACCTAATTTTCTGATTTAAGTGACTGGGTGATGCTATTCACTGAATGCATTGAGGGGTAGAACGTAGGGAAAACAGCTCAGCTCAATTTGAAGCACGTAAATTTGAAGTATGGCAAATACATAGCTTAGAATTTGTGTAATCATAGGAGTATGTGAGATCAGCCAGGAAGCATGTGTGTAGTCAGAAGGTCATGGAGAACAGAATCCTATTGTAGACCAATATTTACGAATGGGCAGAGAGAGAGAACCTGAACAATGGTGGTCTTTCTTAAATCAAGGAAGGTCTTAAAATTATTTATTGAGGCCGGCAGGTGACATGGTGGTTAAAGCACTGAACTCCCATATGGCCGATTGCCACTCAAGTTTCAGACCTGACAGCTTGCTTTCTCACTCTTTTTTTCTCTCTCTCTGCCTCTCTTTGGTCAAATTAAAAAAAAAAAGTGATGAATAAAATTAAATAAAATAATTTTAAAATAATTATTTTATTGGGGCAGAAGATGGCCCAAAATAATTCTTTTTAAAAAGGTTATTTATTGGGATCAGCAGTTGGCATAATAGCTATGTCACTGGACTCCCATGTAGTTGACCACGGTTTGAGTCCTCGACCCAGTGACTTAAACTCATGCTGGGCACGTGTGCGTGCATGCCCAAGATCCCGAGAATGGAGGAGAAGGGATTGTGGCATGGCCATTGCCCCTGGTGGGTAATTTCTCGCTTTCTGTCTCTCTGTCTTTTCTGGTGAGAGCATGTGCCCTATAGCAAAAACCTCTCCAAAAAAATTATTTATTTTTCAGAGGATGTGCACACTTGACAGAGACAGAGAGAGAGGGAGACAGAGAAACGGGGACATGTTCATGATGCAATTCCTTCTCCACCTCTTTACCCCATTGGTACTTTGGTCATGTGTGTATGGTCCTGGCTTGTATTTTGAACCGTATAATCAACATATGGGATCTGGCTCCCTTTAACCACTAGGCCATGGTGCTGGCCCAGAAGGGGTTTTAACAGAAAAGAAAGAAAGAAGAAAGAAAGAAAGAAAGAAAGAAAGAAAGAAAGAAAGAAAGAAAGAAAGAAAGAAAGACATATTACCACAGAGAAGTAAAACATTGAGTTGTCCGGAAAATCGTGACATATTTTTTGTTTTTCTATGCAAAAATGCATCATGACTTCTCTGATGACTGAATAAAATCAGGCCTGAGAGAGACCCTTTGGATTTGGCAACTAGAGGTCACTGGTGACCTGAGCCAGCCAAAGCAGGTTTTTTTGGGGGAGGGGGGAGTGGTTTTTGCTATAGGGCACGTGTGCTCGCCAGAAAGAGAGAGAGACAGAAAGCGAGAAATCACCCCCTGGGTGGATGGCCACGCCACAGTCCCTTCTCCTCCATTCTCCTCTCGGGATCTTGGGCACACACGCACCCAGTGTGAGTTTAAGCCACCAGGTCTGGGACTTGAACCGCGGTCAACTACGTGGGAGTCCAGCGACATAGCCATTACGCCAACTGCTGGTCCCAGCCAAAACAGTTTTAACAGAGTGATAAAATTAGAATCCAATCAGAGGCTGGTGAGAAACAGATGGAAAGTAAGAAAATGATAAAAATGACAATAGAAATTGTAAACTACTCTTTAAAGAAAGTAGACTGTGAAGAATAAAAGAGTCTTAAGATGGAAGATAAATATGCTTAAATAGGCTTAGGAGAAGAAAGCAATAAAGGAGGATTGGGAAAAGCAAAAGAGTATAATTGTTGGAAGGACCTGTCAAAACAGGAGTGGATGTTAACTAACAAAGGTAGGGAAAATTGCATTATGAGGGAGCTCTCTTCCCCTGAGATAGAGAAAAAATGGATGCAATTATAGATTAGTACATAGATAAGGAAAACAAGCAATTGGAGCGTTTTATATTTCTTTTCTTTTGTTTTTCTTTTCTTCTTTTTTTTGGTAGAGTTTTTTTTGCCTTAGGGCACATGCGCTTGCGGGGCAGGGGGTACAGAGACAGAGGGAAAGTGAAAAATCACCCCCCAGAGAGGATGGCCATACTGCAGTCCCTTCGCCATTCTCCTCCCTGGATGCTGAGCACATATGCACACATGCCTAGGGTCATTTTCAAGCCACCAGGTCTGGGACTCAAACTGCGGTTGGCCATGTGGGAGTCCAACAACGTAACCGCTACACCATCTGCTGGCCCTAGGAGTTTACATT